ATACAAATCGAATTATAGTGAATATTTTAATTTATAGAAAGTATATTTACCTTCTTTCAAGGACTATTCAATTCTTTGATGATTTGAGAAAGAATCCAATAAAACTGAACTAAAATGATTCAAAAGTACAAGACCATAATAAAGGACGCAAATCAGACACTTTTCAATTATCCTTCAGAAATGTTAAACCAATCAATTCTTTTCCAAATATCGCAAAAAACTCAATTATTTACAATTTCCCTAAGCGAAAAGCAAACGCATAACAGATGGGAGGGAACTAATATTGATAATAACCATACCATAAGATTGAAGGTCAATCAAATGATTAGCAAACGTACTATGCAGTCTGGCTGAAAAGTGAATCATGACTTCCTTTTCTTTTTCTACAACTAATGTACAGTATTTCAATAATAATTACAGTGGTGAATTGTTTATCTTCTTAGAATTTTTCTCAGGGTCTGGTTTCGTTTTCTTTTAACGGTAATATTTTATGTTAAAACGTAATAAAGAAATCTCTCATTGAGGAAATACAGCAAATAAAACAAAATGTTTTTTTTTCTTTAATTTAGTTTTGGGATCAAAGATAGCTATTTGATGAAGGAAAAAAGCCAGATAAAAACATAAATTATGTCAGTGTTGTTGTGTGTATTTTTTTATTATGGAAGAAAGCATTTTGTTTTACTTCTCTTTCCGGTTATTTTTTTAAAAAATCTTTAAATTTTCGATACGCTCGCGCCCCCCTTGGGGTCATCGCGCCCCCCAGGGGGCGCGTAATTTACATTTGAGAAACACTGACTTAAAGTATATATTACTTATTATTATGTTATTTTCCCTTCTCTAATTTTTAAATTGGAACAGATCGCAAAATGATATATTTAAAGATTTATTTCATTCAGCATCCATTTCTAAAAGTACAAATATCATTAGAAAAATAGTCTAGTCTTTGTTGCTCTCTATCACATCCATCACATCTGGCATTATCGGGTACGTTTGCGTGAGTCTGTGCAACCTATTGGACATCTGCGCAAAACATGTAAAAATGCTTCTCCTGGTACAATTCCAGTCGTGTTGTTTGACTCGATACTTCTATAGCTACCGAATCTAGCTTGAATGTACATTTTTTTAATTTGCACGTTAATTAAGTATTTACGGTAGTAGATTAAAACAAAATCATACATAAATTTTTAAGTCGTAAGCGAACATTCGACGATAAAAAAGGTGAACAAGTACACAGACAAGCAGGGTTCCGAAAATTAAACCCAGGAAACATTCTCAAAAATACTTAAATTCGGATTTACCGCTACTGAAGTAAATAATGAAAAAAAGCCCCCGTTTGTTGTGTGTTAACATTTAAAAATCTGAAGAACAGCATGTGAAAGTTGTTTTTAAAGCCATGTAAAAGCATTTAGCCATGTTGCCAAAGAATTTTAAAAAGTATTTTCTTGATGAGCACAACTTGGAAGCATTACGAGTGGTTTAGGAATCAATTTCAAAATACTTTAGAAGAGTTCTCCACTGCCGAAGTAATCATCATAGATTTCACATCCAGTGAAAAATTAAAATGGAATTTTGTAATAAATCGCTCTTTGAATTTTGGGTAGAGGTGGATGATGAATTTTCTGCACTAAAAACAAAAGCACTTCGTATATATACTATTACCATTTTCAACATCACCTTTTTCAATTTTCTGTACTTTGAAGACAAAATAAGATCTCAGATAAGTATAGAAAAATAACTCTGAGTGTCAATTTCTGATATTAAACCTTTCTTTGAAAAACTTTGCTTTGCAAGACAAGCCCATGGAATCACTAACAATTATTAAACTTGCTCTTAATTTAGTATTGAGAAATTAGTTATAAATTACCTTCTTCAGTACTGATACATTAAACGTATACTGACTAAAGTACCGGCTCTTCGCACGAGTTCATTTAAAAATAATAAAACATTATTCTTGATATAATAGCCGAACTGTAAAGAGAGTAAAACCGCGTGCATGACATTGTACACAAAAATGTAAAATGAATTTTTTAGATTAATGCTTGTACTGTAAATTGTTTTAAAAGAACTGTAATTTTGAACCTCTCAAAAAAGCATTTAGAATTAATGATAAATAATGAAAACTGAATTGAATAATGAATTACGATAAAGAATAATTGTGTTACTTTTTAATATTTAAAGCGAGGAGACTTCAAAATGTTTTAACCCGGAAACAGGCACACGTACTCGATACTAACGTTAATGATAGTAGGTGGTGACTCAGCCCCCACCTCCAATCATTTTTTTATAATTATTTTTACTGTACACGATAAAAATTCCACATTTAAATGAATAATTTAATTAAGTAAAAGTATACTTATATATACCAGCTTTCAAGGACTTTTCAATTTTTCTTTATTAATTTGAGAAAAAAACTAATAAAGCTGAACTAAATGATTCAAAAGTGCGAGACCTTAATAAAGAACACAAATCAGAGACACTTTTTACTCATATTACTGGAATGGTATTTGCTGGCAAAGGTAACATATTTTGTTCAAGTAATTGTAGTTTTATTGTACTTTCATGATCGAGTGAGTGAATATTAACATCGCAGTGTTCAGATACACGAGGGCTTTTGGAGACGGAAATCGTAATTTTGTACCATAATCAAGTGACAAGGACGACACTTAAGCTAGCCTGTTTTAACTACCACACCACTTAACAGACTCGACCACTCTTTAGCTCTTGACAGATTTAGCGTTCATCTCTACACTACATGGTGGGTTTTTAGTGGTACTGGCTTCGAACTCGTGACACCTTTGGCGATCAACAAATAGAAAGTTGAACTTTTTTTTCTTGTATCTTTTTGACAAGGCGAACTGAACCTTGTGGTACACTTATGACTTCATATTTTAGATGATTGAGTTCTTTAGGAAGCATTTGAAAATGTTCCTTCCATTTCATGTTTATCGCGGTTCTCAATCATGAATAATATACATTCTTTCAGCAGGTTCTTCCTTTTCTTGACCAGTTCTAGCTTCCTTCATTAGAGATCACAGATGCCCCGAGCCACCGCTCCCGGGTTAAAGTGTATTTAGAATATCGTTAGGTGGATGACTTGCGTACCCAGCTCTTTCGAGCTACAGCCTCATATCAGTAGGTATTTGAGTGCTGTAATTGATTGACTTTTGTCCTTTGTTAATGTGTTGAGAATAAAAATATGGATGTTCTAAAAAGAATTATGACGTTTTTCACTATGCTTTAATGTTTGAGCATGCTGATAAAAATAAATCTTGGCCAAATAATCCTTCAAATTACAATCAATCCTTTTCCAAATATCATAAAACTCTTTATTATTTACAATTTCCCTAAGCGAAAAACAAACACATAAAAGATGGGACGGTACTAATATAGAACTAACCATACCAGTAAGTTGGAAGGTCAATCAGCAGATTATTATGCTGACTGGCTGAAGAGTGAATCAAGAGAGAAAGTCTTCCTTTTCTTTCTACAACTCATGTATAATATTTCAATAATAATAACACAGTGATGAAATTTTTATCTTCCTAGAATTTTTCTCAGGGTCTGGGTTTTTTTAAAGAGTAATATTTTAGGTTTAAAAAGAAAACGTAATAAAAAAAATCTCTGATCGAGGGATTACAGCAAATCAAACAAAATGTTTTTTTTTTATTTTTAAATTTGGTTTTAGGATCAAAGATATCTATTTGCTGACGTAATATTGCCAAATGATATATATGAATTACATCAGTGTAAATGTGTATTTTTTATCACGGAAAAAGTATTTTGTTTTACTTCAGTCCAGTTATTTTTTTCAAATCTTTTTTATTTTCCATATGCTCGCGCCCCCAGAGGGGCACGCCTCACACTTTGAGAAACACTTGGTTAATGCCACCTGTCTGACGAAATCAGAACGAGGCCCACGAAATTAATCGTGGCAAGGGGCTAGAAGTACGCCTGTCGTTGGCCTAGGCCTTGAGCACCATACAGCTGACAGTACGAATTAGCTCGGCGAAATTCTCTGAAGGGACGATAGATGGCGACACAATTAATCTCCACCTCCAAAATATGGGCATGGAACTGAAGGGGAGGGAAATATTCTCCAGTTCCATGCACTCGTGATTCAGCTCACAAGACTTTCGGATCCACTGATTTAACGAGCACGTACTCCGTGTATACTTGGAGGGTATTTGGTGGCATCGGGCATCGAACCCAAACCCTTCCGGTCTGGAGTCTGATGCTCTAACCACTAGGAAATTAATTAGTCAAAAGAGTAAAAAATACAGACTTTAAAATTATTTGTTCAACTGCGTCCTTTTTTCAATTCCTACTATTAGTTCACAATCTCCGTATATATATTGAATTTGCATTTGTGTCCAGAATCTGGCAATAATTTATTTATTGTACTCATATTTAGCATGGAGAGGGGGGGGCTCAGATTTAGAAGATGGGCTTTGCATTTTTGAGTGCAATTTTTAGGTACCTTTATCTTGTAAGGGATTTAGACATTCTATCCATTATTTTAAATAGGTTTTTGCTCAGTATTATTAATATAAAGGGGGGGGGGAGAGATTGGCTGGCTACAAAACATGTTCAGCCCCACTTTTATATAAATTATTTTATATATAAGCTGTCCTAAGTCAGCAATATTTATAATACTGCAGCATCCATTTTATAAATTTTAATTTCTCATAAACCTTCAATGTATGATTTCTTACAATCTCAGTATTTTTCGGTTTTGATTGATAAATGCTCATCTCTCATTTTGTAGAGAATTTAGATTATATATTTATATATCTTTTTCAAATTTTCAACCGTTAATAAAAAACTTTCTATTTATCCATTCAAATTGAAAAACATTTTTTAAAACTTGTAGTGGATGGTACTTGATGTAAAGACGGTTTTTCCAAGTATTAATTCAAAATTTAAATTTAATTAATGAACAAATATTAACAAATAAAAATAATAGTCTAACACTATGTATAAAAAGGAAAGTCACTTGTTATGTCCTTGTAGCGCAATGGATAGTGCGTTGGATTGCTGATCCAAAGATCGTATATTCGATTCCTACCTGGGATGGCCTAATTTCTGAGAATGTGATTTATGAATGTATATAAATCATAACAAACAAAAAATAATAGTCTAACACCACACATATATAGAAACTGAAAATCGCTTTCTATTTTGCCATTCAATGTAGTGGTTTGTCATATGTATATACATATTTATATCAATTAAAATTATTTAATAAAAATAACTGAACTTTTTCTTTGTTGACCTAAGTAAGAATTGACTTTTAAATTTTTTTATATTACTTTCTTTAAGATAAATAAAAGATTCTTACCAACGTACAGTAGAAAGTGCAAACAACGCCAATAACAATCACTGACATCCACATGGACAAATTTGTAACTGCACTCAATGCTAATGCAGGGGCATAAAGCGTGGCTGCTGTAAAAAGCATCTGCAAAAAATAGAAATCATTCTATAACATCTCTCTCTCTCTGTTAGTTTATTTTTAACAAATGTTGATTATATCTATTGTAAGAGGTCCATGACAGTAACGCATCAAAATAATTATAGTACAATTATGTGGTATTTTTCTACTTGAATCAGTCAAAAATAAGCCCAATCATCAACAAAATAAGGCGTATATCTTGAATACATGTGCCATGCCAAATATCGTGACTTACGATTATGACCCATCGCTTTTCACTTATTTCGATGTATTTTTTTCGTATCAACTAACTAGGATAATGGAAAGAAGGGAAGAACCAAAAACAACATTTGATGTGTTCTTCCTCATGCATTTCTTGGTTCCGCATTCATCCAGCTTTATTTGGAGATTTATGGTGCTAAATCAAATAAGTTTTGGGGTAGCCATATACAATCGCTGGGCTACTAAGACCTTGATTGACAGCTATTGAAGAAAGCATTGAATTTGGCAATATTATTTGCTCAGAGTATAAGAAAGCATTTCAGACAGAAGATTTAGAAAATACTGGCTATGAACGCTTCACGTAAGTCATATTTATAATTTCGTAAATATTGACACTGAATGTCGTATACAAACGGTGAAATGCATACGAAGCAATGCAGAATAATGCAATAAAAAAAATTAGAGGTTTACTACTTGTGTGTGTAATGTTGTTTTTCTTAAATCCTAATTTCCATGGGTCAGTTAGGCAATCATATCCAATTATTTTATGTTTCCAGTAATTAGTCTATCTTTAGTTAATTTTGTTTATTGGACAAAATACATAGAAGACATCACACAAAGAACATTACGTAAGCAAAACTACCTCTACAAGCCAAACAAAGTACAGTGGGTGATCGGTTAACGAACACTTTCACGAAAGATTTTTGTGTTCGGATAACGAACACTTTCAAGAAAGATTTTTTGTGTTTGGACAACGGACACATATTCGGAGGTGATCAGGGAGACACCCCTTAAATTATGGATGAAATAACTGCTAGAGATATGGGATTGGAGGTGAACGAGGATGACATAGAAGAGCTCATAATGGGACATGAAAAGGAACTGACGATAGAAGAAGTCCAAGAAATTTTGAATGAATAACTCCAAGAAACACAACGAAATGTTTTAACGAAATTTTATTTGCAATTTTTAAGCTTAGAATTTATACTTCGTAACAGGAAAGCTAAGTAAAACTTTTTGTTATTTATCAGGGTCACGAATTAGGTCCTGTTGTTAAGGTCATAAGCTTTTTTGCTGATAACACTGGTCGAACTCAGAATTCATTCGATGCCTGTCTTACAAAGAAATAAAAGCTTTAGAACTCAAAATTTAGAAGAATGATACACTAGATGGAGCCTCGTCCTTGCGATTTAATTTCTTTCTTTTTTCTTTCAAAATTGGCCTTCTAGCTAGTCAGCTGTAATTTTTACAACAAGATGCATGTTTCACGATATATAAATATTTTTTCTTTCCTTTTTTAAAAAAAATATCTGTATCCTTTTAGCATTATTAGAAAATAGCTTCTTGACATTAGCAGGATGTCCTCATTTTAATTCTATCAAATATTTAACACAAGATTATCCATAATTTCACTTCTTATCTGTTCTCTTGTAGTATATAGACAACCAGCCTCTTCTTAAAAATATTTGAAAATATCGAAAATTAAAGGTATATTTGGATAATAACAGAAAGTTATAGTATTAGGTAGTTAAAAATAAGATGTTTTCGATGGTTAAAAGTAATGACTCTCATGAACAAAAGAAATTTTGTAGAGATAACCCTATTACAGCTCAACTACACTTTGTTCTTAAAGGTATATTAATTTGCTTTTGGAATCTACATAAAAACAATTTTTTAAATATAACTCTCATTTACATTTAAATAAAATGTATAAAATCGGTTCTGTTAATATCAAATACATATTTGAAACAAACATGTATAACAAACCAAAGAGAAAATATCCTATCCAAGAATCAACGCATCTAATGTATCTCTATCGGTGCAAATATATTGAACTTAATAGTCATGAACTTACCAACTGAAACGCAAACATGGCTGATATTATTCTTCTCGTGGTTTTGCCAAATCGTTTTTCCAAATACTGAAAAGACGTATCGAAATATAGCAAATATATTCAGGATTGAAATAACTAAAATAATGTAATGTAGAAGAATTTAACAAAAAAAAAATGCAAATGCTATATATTTTTTCTAATTTTGTATTAAAAGCAACAAAAACGTTTATTATACTTAAAGTATACTATCATCACATTTTGACATTAAGAGGACGATCTTGTATTTATTCGATGACACAAAATATAATTTTTAAGAAAAAATTTAAATCTTTATTACTCGCAAAAAATATGAAGGAATTTTTTTGACCTAATCTCACAATAAGCCGATTTAAACCAGGTAGTATCAACTATGTACTTCGAAGCTAAAGCTACAAAACGACCTTAATTATGAGCCTCACAAATGATCAAGTTAAGTATTAAAATTTTTATACGTTACTTTTAAGTAATAAATATTACGTAAGTAACTTACTTTTAATTAATAAGATAAGTATTTCGTTACCTTTCCCTTTATAATTTTTAATTTGGAACAGACTGCAATGAATATGCAGAAAGTATTTTGTTTTGCTTCCTTTCAGTAAATTAATAATTTTTTAAAACCTTTTATCTTCGACATTTCGATATGCTCGTGCCTCCCACCTTAAGCTATCACGCCCCTCCCCTAAGGGGGCACGAGTGAGTGAGTGAGTATTAACGTCGCATTGTTCAGCTACACGAGAGCTTTTGGAGACGAACCGCGTAATTTTGAACCAAAGGGGGCACGAGTGAGTGAGTGAGTATTAACGTCGCATTGTTCAGCTACACGAGGGCATTTGGCGACGGACCGCGTAATTTTGAACCAAAGGGGGCACGAGTGAGTGAGTGAGTATTAACGTCGCATTGTTCAGCTACACGAGGGCATTTGGCGACGGACCGCGTAATTTTGAACCAAAGGGGGCACGAGTGAGTGAGTGAGTATTAACGTCGCATTGTTCAGCTACACGAGGGCTTTTGACGACGGACCGCGTAATTTTGAACCAAAGGGGGCACGAGTGAGTGAGTAAGCATTAACGTCGCATTGTTCAGCTACACGAGGGCATTTGGCGACGGACCGCGTAATTTTTGAACCAAAGGGGGCACGAGTGAGTGAGTGAGTATTAACGTCGCATTGTTCAGCTACACGAGGGCTTTTGGCGACGGACCGCGTAATTTTGAACCATCGTCAAGTGACGAGGACGACACCTGAGCTGGCACTCCCTCTCCTAACTACCACACCACACCAACGACAGGGCATTCGAGCTCTCGACAGATTTAACCTGCAACGCTCCCTTACACGGTGGATCTTTAGTGGTAATGGGTTCGAACTCAGGACAAGTCAGCCCCGATGCGATACCCCACCAGGCTACCGCGACCATTAAGAGGGCACAGTTGAGACACAAAAATAATCCCAATGTGCAATTTCCATACCTCATACGCTGTGGAGACATCATTGGCGAAGAAAATAGGTAGGAACAAATACGCAGTGATTATGGGAGCTACAGCGAATCCTACATTCATGAAGGCCATACTGGTACCATAGAGGTACATTTCAGCTGGTATGCCCATCAGAACAGTGGCAGACATGAAAGTAGCCATAAGCGAGAAAGCTACTGGTAACACTGTCATATCCTTGCCAGCGAGCAGATACTCCTCATTGGTCTTTTTCTTGGTGGTCAGCTGGAAGAAAAGGCCAATGCCGGATGATATAGCTAAAGTGGCTGCAAATATGAGGTAATCAAAGGCACTCAGCACGAACTTTTCTTGAGTCATGATGAATTCCAAGTAATGCTGGCTCAGTCCAGAAACGGCTTAAGAACCTAAAATTATAATGTCACTGTTAGATTGAGACTGGTGTGTGTGCTTAGTAATAAAAACTTTTTAATTATTTTTTTTAAGTTGGCGAATAACAGATTATAAAAAAAAATTGGACTAAACTTCAGCTATGTTAAAATTTTTTTAAAAACAATTACAAATTCTTTTAATGTTACGCTATTTTTTATACACAACGATATCGTATATTCAAACGTATTACGCGCATTTATACTTTCGAACTGCACTTTTTTAATTTATAGGAACATTCGCCGCACAATGTGACCCTCTTTTGCAAAGAAATCTGAAAGGTACGTGTGCAATGCTCTTATCCTTTGAAGTACTACCCCAGGCTTTTGAACAATGGTATACTTTTAACACTTCAGACCTAAAGGGAAAGAAAAGAGAGGTTGAAGGAAAATTTATGAGGCTGAAAGTTTATCAGGTCTTTTTCATTTCTTTTAAATAAACAGTATTTGTATATGTATAGAAATCTAATTTTTTACGCTAATCTTTTTATATTTTTTTCAGGCTATCTTTTTTTTATATTTAGTGTATAACATCTCCCCGTAAATTTTGAAGTTATTTTTTGTATTAAAAGTGTACGCACTATAACCCCAGAATATATGGAAATGTTATTCAAAATACTCGTATATTAAATTAAACACGTGGTTTCTTTTTTTCTTCTAATTCTTCTGAAAT